CTGGTGCCCTCTTCTGGCCTGCAGGCATACACACAGACAGAATATTGTATACATAATAAATAAATATTTTTTTAAATAAAGACCCTCCTCTGACTCCCTTTTTTTTTTGGTCACTGAAGGGCAGAGCCACCACATGCTTGGGCCTGAAGGGCCAGTCGACCTGCCTTAGGGCAGCCTTTTAATGGGTTATAGGCTCTGGCGGGAAGACTCTGAGATGTATGTGGAGACCTGGAGGCCCACTGCTTGGTCCACTAGCCCTCTGGCTGAGCCCAGGCACCAGCTGGTTGTCTCCAAGCTCCTGGATGCCTACAGGCTTCTTGAGTCTCCAGGAAATGGGGAGCAGGCTCTGGGGCCTGCTAGGCCACGGGTGGCTGAACGGCATTCCAGTTGACAAGTCTTCGCAGAAATCACAGCACATGAGAGATCGTATGACCCAGAACAAGTTCCCTGTGTCTCTGGGCTGTGGTTTTCTCCAACTCAGCGGCTGCTCTTCAGCTTTGGGGCCAACTGATGGAGGCCATCCCAGATCTCTGCAGAATGCTGCACTGAGATCCTTTAGTCCCTGAGACATGAGTCTCCTGCCACAAGCTGCCTGCCTCCTCCTACGTGCACTTCCGTCCGAGGCTGTGGTGCACAGCATCCCTTTCCACCCTGAGCACTCCTCCATCCGGGCACCTGCTTCCGCTGCTGCACCCAAAGCCTGCCTGTTCTAGGACGCTCCTGTTCACCCCGTTTTCTAGCCCAGGCAGCCCCCTTCTTCCCAAAGGGGATGTTATTGGTCTTTTTGACTGTCAGCAGCAGGAGCCAGCCTGAGTAAGGGGTAACTGCTTGAGCATGTGTGAGCGTGCAAGGAGAGGGAGGGTGAGGACGTAGGGTTCTGTGAGAATGTGTGTGGGACTTGTGGGAGTGTGAGAGCATGAGCAAGCGGGACTGAGTGTGCATGTTAATATGTGGTGAGTATGGACACATATGAACATGTATGTGACTGAGTTGTCATAGGCACGCATGCCAGTATGCTTGAGTATTGCGTACCAATATCTATGTGATTCAATGTGAGGTATGTATGTGCGGTTTTTGAGTGAGTGTGTCATTTAAGTTCCCCCAAGGGCAGCCTGTGATCTAAGCATCCCCACCTCACCTGTATCCAGTGTCCAGAGCCAATCTGCCTGGCTGAGCTACATGTGGCCCTGGAACTATCTGGAGCTGATGATGGGGGCTAAAAAATAATTGAGTCTGAGTCTGGTGGCCAGGCTTACCTTGTCAGAGTAGATGGACATTCGGGTCGTCAATCCCAGAACGGGGATTCTGTAGAAACCAGCTGTGTAGGAGACGGGAGTGGGGGTGAAGTGGTCGTTGGGGGTAGGTGGGTGGCTAACTAGGATTGCGTAGACCTGTGAATACAGGAGACAGAGTCAGCTTTGTGGGAGTAGAATACTAGGGTTTGAAACCCAGACGTAGCAAGAGCTGGAACTGCAGGCCAGGAGTCCAAGTGGTACCATTTGTGCTCACGGTGCACACATCCAAGAGACAGGAAAACGAGCCAAACCACAACACTCTGGTGATAAGCCCACTGTGAAGAGGGAGCAGCACCAAACAAGACTCTAGGGACGTAGATGACAACACCATACACACACACACACACACACATACACATGCACACATACACATGCACACACACACATGCACACACACATACACATGCACACACACACACACACACACACACAGATGGCAGATCCTTTCTCAGCCAGCCCTCTCTGCCCAGGGCACCTCTTGTAACGTCAGGAGGGGAGCAAGTTTCTGAGCGAAGTTCTGGCATGGCCTCTACATTCCAGGATGTAAGGACTGATTCTTACTACCCTCACCCGACATCTAGCCCGCAACCTTTAGGACACATTAGTGTTTGTAGGCATGTATGTATGTATGTATGTATGTATGTATGTATGTGACTATGGGTGTTCATGAGCACATGCTGAAACATGTATGCACTATGTGTATCCCAATCCATGTTTATATATGCCTATCATGATGGAATCAGGGTTTCTATGTGCATTGACCATACAAAGCAGTGTGTTCATGGATGTGCAAATATGTGTGAGCATGTGCAGATGATTGTGTCATGTTGGGATGCAGCGTGTGTTAGTGCGGTGTTCATGTACACGTGTGTGAGCAGACATGTTCATGGATGTAGCATGTCCTATGAAAAGCATGTATGAACAGCCTTGGCGCAGTCCCTGCTTTTCTCTTACATAAACGGGTGCATTGCAGTGACCCTCATATGGCTTCATTGGAATTCAGCAACCAGCTCAGCCAGGGGCGGACAGTTTCAACAGCCACATGTCCTCCCCTGCAGCACACTGAGCTCGGCTCCCACACTGTGCCTTGGGGTGGCTCTGGCATGCGCAGTTCTCACTCCCACCCCTGCAGAGCCTGTTTCCTCTGGCACCTGGGCCATCCATTGCAGACTCATGAATCGGGGGAAGGGAAGAGGGGTAAGGAAAGAAACAAAGATGGCCCCAGGCCTCATCCAGTCTGTGGCCTGAAGTGCTCCTCCGTTTGTGACCAGAAGGTCTGGACCCACACTGACTGGATGGAAAAATCACTACCGGTAGTCACATGGCAGCACACACGGTCCTTCTGAGGACCGGTCCAGGTGACAGGTGACCAGCGGGGGGAAGCGACAGACACAGATGTTTGTTCCAGGCCTCTCCAGGTGCCGGTTAAATTGGAGTGGTCTAGTAAGGAGACTGAGAAGGACCAGGGGAGGACGGAAAGAAATTGGGACAGCGGGATGGATGGTGGAGGAGCAGGAGAAAAGGGAAGTAGCGGTCACCTGGCTGGAGATGAGGTCCTCACACACTGACAGGGCCATCTGTATGGCGTTGGGCTTGTGGGTGACAGAGGTGGCATTGAGCTGTATCTTCCAAGAGCCGTGTCGCTTATTGGCCTGGTTCACGGCCTCGCGGAACATCTGCTCGTGCTTGCGCGTGCTCAGCACCGCGCCGATGTTGACGATCTTGGGGTCGCAGGCGGCGCGGGCGAAGGAGCAGGAAAAAAGCAGGGCGAATGTCAGCAGGTGCATGGTGCTCATGAGCTCCGGGCGCGGCGGGCCTGGTTCTGGGTTGCGCGAGTGCGACGACCCCGGTGTACGACCCGCGGGCCGCCCGGGCGGTCAAGCACCCGCGAGTCCTCCAGGAGCTTGGGGCGAGCGCGGCGGACGCTGTCCGAGGTGCTGAAGCGTGTTCGGCCCCGCTCGAACACCCGCGCGGAAAAGCGGAAAGGACGGCGGCGCGGGCTGAGCGACTGGTCCCGACGCTGCGGCTACTGCAGCAGCTGCGGAGTCGTGAGCGGGACCTACGCGTCCTACCCCTCCCACCGCCCCCGCTTCCTGACGCCGAGTCGAGCGCGCGCCCTCCTGACGCGCGCGCCTGCGTTGGCGTGAGTGCTTTGAGCGCGCGCGAGCGAGGAGAGCTCCCGCCGGTGTGTGCACGCGCGTTAGCGTGCAGCGACCCTGGGACGGTCACTCGCGTGGTCCCAGACCTGCAACAGTTGAGCTGGGAAGGCTAAAGGGGCTTATTATAAGCGTGTTCTCCTGCACCCTTGCGTGTATTTCAACATGAGGGAATGTGTGCTGTGCATGCTTATCTTTGCGTGCACGCGTAAGTCCTCACACATAGTTTTGTGATATTTTGGGACTTGATTCTTCCAAGGACAGGGAAAGGCCCTATCCCTATATACCTCTGGAGGAAGGATATTGGTGCTCTCCTCCCGACAGGGCTTGGTAATGGGGAGAGTTGGGCACACCGGTAATACAGCTCTATTAAGTGGCCCGGATTTGAAAGTCTAGAGTTCAAGGCCATTCTGGGCTACAAGGTAACGGGCCAATCAGTGAGGAATGTGGGGCAGCCACACTTTCTCAGATCTGTGACTTGGACTTCCATCTAGAGGTTAAGAATAAGTGTGGCATTGGCTATCCTACTATAGAGTGGTACCTTCTAGGAGACCTGCGGGAGACCAAAATCAGAGGGAGCTGTTTGTAGTAGCAAACTCAAAGGTTAGACTTCAGGCTCCTGCCTGGCGTGTCTGAGTTAGGTACTTCGTATTTCCTGCTTCTCACTGACTTCTCTCTTAACGTGTTGCCAGGGCCTTCTCCCAGCTGTGAGTTCCCGGAGCTTCTCTTGTTCCTCTGGGCCTGGCATTCCTAATTCTTTGTCCCCCTTCAGCCCTATAGATTACAGCCCTTCCCAAATTCAAAGCACAGCTGAAGCCCCGCCCCTGCCAATGACATCACTATTTCCAATAGCAACCAAGGATTTTGCAGGCTCCACTGTAAATGTTTCCTAGGGGACAAAGCAGGTGGGTGGTCTCCACACCTAAGTGCTGAGCAGTGCAGGGGGAATCCTGGACCCTCAGGTTCACACTCCTGGTTCCTGTCGCTAACACTGTCTTCCTGGAGCAGAGGACAGGCAGGGCTGTGGCGTTGTTCAAGCCCCCTGTCTTGGACACCTTTTCTCTGTCTGCTGCCTGGGGGTGGGGGTGGGGTTACATGCCTTAACACTCTGCCCTGGCATTGAGGAACGACCTCCAGCCTCAAGGTCCTGGAGCTCTCTGAGAGTTGACACCTTCTGCAGATGAGTTGGAGCCACCTCCAGACATCTATGGCTTCTGGCAAGGCAGGACCTGAAGGGTGTGTAGGGGTGGGCCTGGGCTCTTCCTCCAAGACAGGGCAGGGGTCACCAGTCCACCCCCACACCCCCAGAGGAGCTGGAGACTGCTCCTACTGGTACAGTAGAGCCCACTACTGAATATTCAGAGATCAGTAAGCAATTCTTCCCAGCCAGGAATCTGAAATTGACCACAGTAGAGTTATTTATTTAATTAATTTATTTTTTTATTTTTTTTATTTTTTGAGACAGGGTCTTTCTGTGTAACAGCTCTGACTGTCCTGGAACTCGCTTCACAGACCAGGCTGGCCTCAAACTCACAGAGATCCGACTGCCTCTACCCCCGAGTGCTGGGATTAAAAGCCTGAGCCACCGCTGCTCCCTGAGTTACTTATATATACCATGGAAGATTTACCAAGCAGCGGGGCTTCCTGCCCCACTTTCTGAGAACCCATTTGCCAACATACAACTGCCCCTCTCAAGCTACAGGTCCTCAATCTTTTGGTATAAACTCCTTGGGAAGGTCCCAGTGATGAGGGCAAGTCGGAGGCTTCGCCCACCCATCAACTCTTTCTACTCTGTTCTCTATTATTCTTTGGGGCCTTCTTCTATCCCCCCCCATCATGGCTGCTACAGTCATAGAAGCTACCAATCTTGCTTCCCCCTGCTCTAATAACAGACTGACTAATAAACCGGCTTGGGTTGGGACCTCTCTAGGCCCCAGGGAGACAAAGGCTGTGAATATGGCAGAAAATGATTAGGAGGTGGGTGCCCAGGGTGGGACTGAAGCCCAGTTCTGCCCCTAGGCCACTATGGTCAGTCCTGCTCTGCAAAGAGCACCTGAGAAGGAGGCTGTGGACGCTCATGGCTCTACCCACGCTCCTCTGCTCTGGCAATTGCAACCCTACCATGAGGGGTTTTCTCTCTCAAACTCCTAGTTTAAGTCAGTCAGACACAGGACCCATTGACCTCAGTTCATGGACAAATACGGACTGGAGCTGGGTGGTGGTGGTGTGCACCTTTAATTAAAAAATAAAGCAAAACTAAATAAAACCAAATATGGATTTGGAGCTTTTTGGGGGGGAGGGGGCTTGAGACGGGATTTCTCTGTGTATCTCTGGCTGTCCTGGAACTCACTCTGTAGACCAGGCTAGCCTCAAACTGAGAGATCTGCCTGCCTCTGCCTCTCAAATGGTGGGATTAAAGATGTTTTTCACTGGGGCTGGAGAGATGGCTCAGTGGTTAAGAGCACCAGCTGCTCTTCCAGAGGTCCTGAGTTCAATTCCCAGCAACCATATGGTGGCTCACAACCAACCATGTGTAATGAGATCTGGCGCCCTCTTCTGGCGTGTGGGCATACACACAGGCAGAATGTTGTCTACATAATAAATAAATAAATAAATCTTTAAAAAAAAGATGTTTTCCACCATCATCTGTAAAAATATGGATTGTTAGTCAGCCCAGGCTGGCCCATTGAGTCGAGTCACTGCAACCCAAGCTCAGGGTCAACCTATGGATGCATTTTCACCGAGTGAAAGCCAGTTTGAAAGGAGGAAGCTAACAATTCTCAAAGAGAGGAGAGGTAGGAGCCATGTGTAGACATCTCTACCTGTACTGCCCTCTCAGCTGCTAGGGACTTCTTCCGCTTGGACGGGGGGCAGGGCTGGCCAGCAGTAGGCCTGGCCACCAGGTAAAGTGATCTGGGGCAGCCAAGGGCCTCATGGAGAACAGCCAGTTACCAGCAAGAATTCCGAGCCAGCCTCAACCATCTCCGACATCATCCCACATCGTAGTCCACACTGCTCACTGTTGGCCTCCACCACTGCCCCTCCTCCCTGTCCCGTCTTCTCTAGCATTGCAGTAGAGAGGAAGGTCTCAGAACTTGGAGGGCTACAGGTGTCAAGCTTACGGTTATCACACATTTTGAAATAGGCACAAAGGATTCAGTCCTTAGGTGTCCTTTCAGGGTCTGCTACTGCAGACTTGGCAGTTGGGGCTGCCTTCTTATGCACATGTCACATCAGCCAACC